CCCTACATCATAAATCTCCATTTGAAGTTCTTTATGGTACACCTCCTGATTACTCTCATCTCCGTGTGTTTGGGTGTCTTGCTTATCCTCATCTCCGCCATGAGATTGATCACAAGCTTCAACCTCGATCTAAGCGTTGTATCTTTCTTGGGTATGAAGAACTGTCAAAGGGGTATCGGTGTTATGATCCATCATCCAAGCGTGTATATATCTCGCGTCATGTTCAGTTCAATGAGAATGAGTTTCCCTATTCGGTCTCTATCTTTCCACCTACCTCCCAGTCATTCTTTGGCGTCTTGCCTATATTCCCTCCTCTCCCTACGGTGTCCTTAATCCCTGCTCACAGGGAACCCTCACCTATACCCAATACTACCCCACCCATACCCGATACTATCCCACCTATTCTTGACACTTCAAAACCTAATGCCCACTCCCCTCCTAATCGTACTCCGTCCAATACCGGCTGTCACCCGGCCTTTCCACCTGGTTTTCCAACTCGTCCCTTCCCCTCCGATACCCAAATGTCCAGGGTCCAACTCCCGAGCAACACTAGCATAAACCCTACACCTTCTCGTACCCAGCCAACCCCTCAGCCTGAGATCACTCGGCCACTATCCACACCACATCCCACTCACCCCATGACAACCCGTTCCAAAAGTGGCATTTTTAAACCTAAAATTTTGTCTACCTCTGTCTCCCCTTCTACCCTTGTTTCTGAGCCAACAACGTTTCGAGAGGCTTCTCAACATGAGGTTTGGCGTCGTGCTATGGATGAGGAGTATTCGGCCTTGATAAAACAGAACACATAGGTACTTGTTCCAAAGCCTTTAGGTCGAGCTCCGATTGGCTGTAAATGGGTGTACAAGATAAAGCATAACCCCGATGGCTCTATCTCACGCTACAAAGCACGCTTGGTGGCTAAAGGTTACAATCAAGAGTATGGGTTAGATTACTCTGAGACATTCAGTCTTGTGGTTAAGCAACAGACTATTCGGATCGTGTTTTCTCTTGCTGTTCATTATGATTGGCCATTGCGTCAACTAGATGTCTCTAATGCTTTCTTACATGGCGAACTTGATAAGGATATTTACATGGTGCAACCTCCTGGCTATGTTGATTCTCGCTTTCCCCGTCATGTATGTAAGCTTAACAAGTCTCTATATGGCTTAAAACAGGCACCACGGGCTTGGTATGAGCGGCTCTCTGGCTTTCTACTTGCATATGGTTTTCAAAGAAATAAACATGACACCAGTCTCTTTATTTTACATGGGTCCACTGGGTCATTAATTCTGCTAGTATATGTTGATGATATAATTATCACTGGGAGCTCTTCTGTCCTTGTTCAGAATTTTATTACCCGCATGTGTGCAGAGTTTCAAACGAAGGATTTGGGACCTCTTGATTATTTTCTTGGGCTAGAGGTTTCTCGTACCTCGTCTTCCCTTATTGTCTCCCAACAAAAATATGCCAGTGAACTTCTTCATAGGGCGGGCTTAGAGGATTGTAAGCCCACGGCGTCTCCTCTTCCAATTCGGCCACAACACATCGTCGATAGGGGGGATGAACCCTTTCATGATCCTACTTTGTTCCGGAGCTTAGTTGGAGGACTTCAGTATCTTACTACTACTCGGCCTGACATTCAGTTTGTAGTCAATTATGTTTGTCAACGTATGCATAATCCAACAGAAAATGATTTTCAGAGCTTGAAGAGGATTATGCGCTTTGTTAAAGGGACACTTAATAGGGGTCTTGTTTTTCAGTCTGGTGATCTTCAGCTACGGGCATACTCTGACTCCGATTGGGCAAATGATATGACAGATGGACGCTCTGTCACTGGTTATCTAGTTTATCTTGGGCCAAACCTAATCTCATGGAGTACAGAAAAGCAGTCTCGCGTGTCAAAATCCTCCACCGAAGCTGAATATCGAGCTCTATCTTCTGCTGCCTCAGAAGTCATGTGGGTCACATACGTTCTAGAGAATTTGCGTATACCAGTTGCTCCTCCTCAGCTATTTTGTGACAATCAATCGGCTATATGTCTCACAAAAAATCCAGTTTTTCACAAGCGTATGAAGCATGTGGGTACAGATTGTCACTTTGTTCGGGAACAGGTCATTGCTGGTACTATGAATGTGTCTCATGTCTTCTCTGAAGATCAACTTGCAGATTTGCTAACCAAACCATTACCAAAGCCACGTTTTCAAACACTTGTTTCCAAGCTTCCGTTCGTGACACGACGTTCAGCTTGAGGGGGGATGTTAGACAATATTAATTATGGTAGTAGTACTATTTTCTATATATATTTTGATGTACTCTACTCCACAGCAGTGTCTTTCAATCTACCCATTTCTCAATAGTTGCAAATAGAATATAATAGATTTTATAAGAATCTTTATATGTGTTCACTTATTAATATAATATTTTTCTAAGACCGAGAGAGTACATGTGTAGGTTAAGTTTAATCAATGTATTTTTGAAAAATTTATAGTTCACTTTTGACATTAGGAATGGAGGTTTCATCCTATAATGAGCTCTATAAGATTGGTACTACTTTTGCATCACGAAAGAGCTGCACATTTGATCACATGTTTATTGATGGCTTACAGCTCCCTAGAGAGGAATCCATATTTTTTTCCTTTAAATTACAAGTGGTCATTTTCAAACTTAAAGATTAAAGTGATCCAATAACGTTTTGGGCTGTTATGAAATGGAAATGCATTTTGCTAAGTAAGGCGAACGTTTTGATATTGGCGGGTAAATTAGAAATTAATGTTCAAAGTAGACTCGCTGAGTAATAATTAGTGAAGCGAGGGGAGTTTCTAAAGAGGTGAGACATGTTCCCACATTGGGCAACTAATTAAATGTGTTCAATTTCGAACAACACTAGCTAGTAACCTAGTTATGTATGCCTTGTCAAATTTCAATCAAACTTAGGCATGATGTGAGTCGATCAGTTATTAAAATAGCATTCCCCAAGACTTCAGTACTCGCATGTTAAGTTCTAAACATTCCTGCCTACTCTCCGGCGTAAGGGCTAGGTACCTCTATTGGTGTAAAATTTCTGAGTTTATCATTGTGAGTTTATCATTGTTAACTACCCATCATATTTCATTTGATTTTTGTTTAGTTCATTATATAGTTTAAAGTTATGCCACCTAGCATGAGTGTAAGGTAAATTTGGTGCAAAATTTGTAGTTACTCTATCATGTGCTTATAATTTTTTTGCATAGGGTTCAACGGCTAATCAAATCTGAAATCGATGACCTTACAATAGATGGTAATACAACCACTGAGAAAAGTCATGATGAGGATTGATGGAACAAAGATGATGAAGCTGAGAGCGATGAACTTGAAGATGTAGACAATGACGATCATTAAAGCTTTGTACTATATCTTCCATACCAATGCGTATTTTAATTCAGTTCACTTTGACTGTTTATACTTAAGCTTGAAATGTACACAAATGATGAACTAATTTTGAGATATTGGTTTACTTTCTAGCAAATGGCTTAGTTGTAACCTTTGAAATGCTATCGTATTATGTATTGTTTTTAATACAGGTATGAATATTATTTTTTATTTGTCAATGAAATTTTTTGATATCACATAAATAGAGCATGCTGGTGTGAAACGTTGTAGTAGTAACAGTTATATTAAATGTTAATGTTGGTCAAAATAAGCTAATACTGACAAAAAAAATGTTTTACTCACACAATTTTTTGTAGGTAATCCAACTTTTAGCGACATTTATAATATATTCAACATTGTCAATATATTCAATGACCATTAATTTTAATTATAAAATATGCAATAACCTCTATCATTACATCCAATTGCTCGAGATTTTGAGTATTTTAAAAAGAAAAAAATCACCCTAGATAAGAGTAAAAAAATTTGAAAACTAAATATCAAAGTAAGAGTCTTGAGTCTTTTAAGATGAAAATATAAAAATAATGACAGTGTGATGTAATAATATCATGTGTTGGAAGTGTGATGGAAAAAAATGACAATATAATATGACAGAATGATCAGTCAATCAACCGTCAGCAATTAGTGGTGACACTCTGGCGAGTGGTGACTGGTGGTAACTCATAACACTTCATGTAGAGTCTGTTCTTTAGAGCTTAAACTCTTAACTTTCAGTTTCTTCCATTTTCTTACAGTTCTTCTAGGTCCTTCTACTTTCTTCCAATAATTTTTATTTTCTTAAAACTTTTTCTACTTTCCGACAAATCACTCTAAAAACAACACATTATTATTATTAATATTAATATTAATTTTATTATTATTATTATTATTATTATTATTAGAACTACTATGTTCATAACTATAGTTTATAAATCATTTCATTTTTTTCATCTCACTATTTTTATGATTCACTCATTTTTTTC